CTAATTATATTTTAGATTTTTTATATTTAAAATAAGATGTTTATCTTGTATTTGATTATGTTTATCTGCAATTAGTTACACGAATTCAGATATAGGATGAAWTCGGATAAGGATGAACGGGTTTAAGAGTTTTTAAGAGTTTAAGAGTTTTTAAGAGTTTTAGCCAAATGCTTTATAAGATAGTATAGATATATATATATATATATATATATAATGATTAAAACAATCATCTTTTACTTTTCATGGCATCAGAGTCCTGCTGCTTTAATTAGTCTAGTACTTATGTTCTCCTTTGTTTTATAAGCTGGAAATTCACGTAAACAACCTCTTTGTTCTTTGAGCACAGGTCTGCCTTAAATCTGAAGTATAGTATATTTGTTAGAAGCTAACAAGTCAATGCTAGCCAATCCAACTATTTAAAAAATGAGACATAAATTAAAATATTACTTGCACATTGATATGAGGTATGTACCAATTGAAATTCCCTTCACGATATATCTAAATATATAGCCTTAAATGAAATTTAGTAAATCCATGGATATCTCATGAGTATGGAGCATTATTCTTAAGAGGTCATCATAGATTTGATTAAAGTCTCATGTAAGGTTATAGATTCTCTATTTTGAAGATTACATTATTACTTATATTATAAAAATATTTAATACAATTTTATAAAAGTTATTTCGCTCTCTCTTAAACATTTAGTTTCATGTATTTTCATTGGTAGAAAAAATAAAAAATCATTTCTCTCATAAGTAATCATTTTTGGAGAGTTCTCTAAATTTGGATAATTTCATCCCCTCTCTCATGTTTTCTTCATTTTTGGAGAAAGTGTTAGAAATTTGTTGGAGGAGGAAACCCTAAAATCTTTGTTTTGGAGAATCTGTTGGAGATACTCTTGTATACCTGAATGAAAAGCATGAAATAAAAAATGATTTCTCTTGTTCCACAAAAATAGGTGGAACAAGATGGGACAAAAATGAGACACAAACTAAAATATTATTAATCTACTCTCGTTTGATATGTAACCTTAGTATGAAATTTGTTTTAATAGTCATCATCGTCAGTCATAGGCGGCATGACCAGTGATAGCCACCGCCGACCATTGTCGACAACCTCCACTCCCTCTTCCACTACAAAAACCTCCTTCACCACATCCTCTTCCACTAGAAAAACCTCCACCACCACCACTGTCCATCGCCACCACGACTACCACCGTCAGTCATTGACCACCATCACTACCACCGTCTATCATCACCATCACTACCATTATCGACCACCTCCACCAACTCCAGCTACCACTACCACTACCCATCACCACCACTACCTCCATACGGGCCACGACTACCTCCTCCAACATTATCGACTACCACCATCACTACTATTCACCATCTTCACATACTTCACCGGCACCGTAGTTTACCAACCACCATTGCCATCATTATAGGTATTTAATAAAATTGTGTTTTTTTTGGTAAATGAAAAAAATTATAAATTTGTAATATATAGACATAACTTGTCGTCATTATAAGTACTTAATAAAAAAAATCTTTTTTATTGAAAACCTTTTTTTAATGAAAATATTGTTTAAAATAAACGAATAATAATGTGATGTGATTTGTAGTTGCTATAAAGTTTCTTAAAAAACATATTTACGAATTAAAACGGTGTCTTTTGATAAAAAAAGATTTAAGTCGATAAAATAACATGTCATCGCTGTAAAGTCACATAGCATGGATAACAACAATTCATTCATCAAACCAATTTAACTCCTCTCAAATCGAAATCCTCTCTCTCTCTCGCTCTTACTATTATCATCATATCTTATGATTCGTTTGAATCCATGTTTTCTCTTCTTCTCTACACCCGCACGCGCACACACACACACATATATATATATATATATATATATATATATATATAGAGGTTGGTTAAAATACTAATCAAGAATTTTGTATTAAATATACTAACCAAAACTAACCAATCAAATTCTTTCTTTATTTTATGTTCAAATGTAACCTATAAATTAAATACAAGGGTGATTATGTAATTTGACCTTTATGTAACTCCCTAATAATTAATTGGGAGTTACAAATCTTAAAGATCCCTCTAATTGATCATTAGGTAATTCTGATTTTTATGTTCATTTGTGTTCATGTCGTGATTTCAAGTGATGTTCTACATATAATGATATTCGTTTTGTAAGTGTAAAAGATTTCTGTATCGTCCGAGTAATATGGATAATACTATTGTAAATCATATTGATAACAATGGAAATGACAGTTAAAATCGGATACGATTACGGTCCGAATTCGAATTCCGATGATGAAGAAGATGATCAAAGCGTTCCGATAGTGATTAGTATGACATTTATTTTGTTTAAGTGAACAGCTATTACCGTTATAAACCATTAAATATGCTTGCAAATATAGTTGAATTCGTTGAAAAATCTGATGCACATTTTGGTACTGCATATGTTTAGGCATTAATTTAGTTGATAGAGAAACATATATGAACAGATTATAAGAGATATGGACACAAACAACATATGAACACATAGCAAAGACAAAATATGTGGATATCGATATATATGCACAACTACATCATATGAATATGAACATGATTTTTAAGTAGTATGTCATGTCATTGTTCAAATCGATACATATGCACAACGCGTTCACATGAACATGTGATCAGGCTCTGTGATTCATGTGAACAACGCCTTTTTACATTTTTACCCTGTGAATCCATTGTTCACATATTATTAATTAATATATTAATTAAATAATTAAATTATTATTCTCATTAAACCACAACCGTTAGATGTTCAAATCAACGACCAAGATCGGTTAACAAAGTTAACACGATAATCTTAGTTAGTATTTGAACCAACCCCTATATATATATATATATATATATATATATATATATATATATATATATTGTTGAGATATATTAGTGCTGATAAGAAGATCATTTATATGATGCACTGATGCAGGGGGAGTTTGTAATATGTCTATATATATGGTTTCTAAACACAATGGTTCAGGACCCGTGCTAAACTGTATATGGCTTCTGAACAACACAGTTCAGGACCCGAGCCAAAATGTTTTATTTTTTTATTTTTGAGCTGAAAAGTAAAATTACTTAAATCTGTTTTCTAGGGGGAGTTTGCTGAGAAGTTTTTTGATAAATATTTTTGGAAACTGAAATGTTTTTGAAACGAGTATCTTTTCTGAGCAGGTATTTCTTGAGATTTTACTTGTGTAATTTCTCGTCATATATAATTCCAATACATGTTTCAGCTATTCTTCAAACCGTTATTATCACATCTCTCAAATGAAAAATCATTTTCGGTGATAATACACTCGTTTGTATTCAAAGTTGTTTTGTAATTTTTTTTACTTTGATTGATACATAATTCATTATTCTTTCATTATCTGAATCTGTAAACTTGTACTTACAGATCTTCATTCATTTCTCCCACATATTCTTAATAATCTGATTTTGTAACATCACTCCTTATTGATTGTGCTTAAACGCTTCATTTTTCTTGATCAAATTTTTTAATCTGATCATTTGA